TGGGGAAAAAATGGAAAAAAAGGGGGAAAAAAATAGAAAAAAAATGGGGAAAAAATGGGGGAAATGGGGAAAAATTGGGAAAAAATAGGAAAAAAAATGGGGAAAAAATTGGGAAAAAATGGAAAAAAAAATAAGGGAAAAATGGGGAAAAATGGGGGAAAATGGGAAAAATGGGGAAAAAATAGAAAAAAAAATGGGGGAAAATGGGGAAAAAATGGGGGAAAAATAGAAAAAAAATGGGGGAAAATGGGGAAAAATGAGGGAAAAAATGGGGAAAAATGGAGGAAAAATGGGGAAAAAAAATGGGGGAAAATGGGGAAAAATTGGGGAAAAATGGGGAAAAAATGGGGAAAAATTGGAAAAAAATTGGAGAAAATATGGGGAAAAAATGGAAAAAAATGGGGAAAAAATGGGGAAAAAATGGGGAAAATGGGTAAAAAATGGGGAAAAAATGGGGAAAAAAATGGAGAAAAATTGGAGAAAAAATGGGGGAAAATGGGGGAAAAAATGGAGAAAAAATAGAAAAAAAAATGGGGGAAAAATGGGGGAAAATATGGGGGAAAAATGGGGAAAAAATGGGGAAAAAATGGAGAAAAATTGGAGAAAAAATGGGGGAAAATGGGGGAAAAAATGGAGAAAAAATAGAAAAAAAATGGGGGAAAAATGGGGAAAAATGGGGGAAAATTGGAAAAAAATTGGAGAAAATATGGGGAAAAAATGGAAAAAAATGGGGAAAAAAAGGGGGAAAAATGGGGGAAAATGGGGGAAAAATTGGAAAAAAATTGGAGAAAATATGGGGAAAAATGGGGGAAAAATGGGGAAAAAAGGGGGAAAAATGGGGGAAAATGGGAAAAAAAATGCGGGAAAAATGGGGAAAAAATTGGAGAAAATATGGGGAAAAAATGGGGGAAAATGGGGAAAAAAATGGGGGAAAAAATGGGTGAAAAAATAAGGAAAAATGGGGAAAAAATAGAAAAAAAAATGGGGAAAAAATTGGAGAAAATGGGGGAAAATGGGGAAAAAATAGAAAAAAAAATGGGGGAAAATTGGGAAAAAATGGGGAAAAAATGGGGGAAAAATGGGGAAAAACTGGAAAGAAAAATTGGAGAAAATATGGGGAAAAAATGGGGGAAAATGGGGATAAAGTGGGGGAAAAATAGGAGAAAAAATGGGGAAAAATGAGAGAAAATGGGGGAAAAAATGGGGAAAAAATAGAAAAAAATGGGGGAAAAATTGGGAAAAAATGGAGAAAAATTGGGGAAAAATTGGGGAAAAATGGAGAAAATACTGGACAAAATATTTTTGTGTTTTTTGGTGTCAGAAATGTGAAATTTCGGGTGTTTTTGGGGTGTCTGAGAGTTTTTTCCCCCTGCAGGTGTTTCTCCGACTG